GCCTATTTTTTATTCAATATTCAGCTTTGTCATATTTGATGATGGTTTTGTCAACGATCAGAGCGATGGTCATAGAGAGTTTCTTTGAGAGGAGAAGGGCAGGTTCACAGGAATCATTCTTGGTCGGAGCGATCATTGAAGCTGTCGATCGTGTCGATGATACTACTCACGTTAATGTTGATGGATACGGCGAGGGAGTTGGATCTGGAGCCAGTGCCAGTGGAAGTACTGCTAGTGCTACTACTAGCAAGAAGGAAGTTCTGCTTTGCTATGTAAACAACATTTCTGAGGATGTCTTGAAGCAGAAATTGCTTGACTTGATTCCGAGGCAGAAGATAATATTGAATGTGCTGAAATTTCCTAGTAGCTACAGGCTATCTGCAAATTCGAAGGTAAGAATTTTCTGTCAAGTGTCATGTCTGTGCACTAGTCTTAGACCCTACATGTCTTACTACTTACTAGGCCGGTCATCTTTATATTACACACACAGTACTTACGCGATCGAGGTTATAACGTTGCACAATTAAATATACCTCTGTATTGTGAGCAGTTGCCTCCCGTAGGCAGTGTGTGGTCTTGTACAGCAAATGTTGTAAGGAAAGGACCAAGCTCAGCAGCTCAAAAAGCTTGAAATTTCATTTGGTTGAGATGATAAGATTTTTTTCGAAGAATCTGGTGTGAAAACAGATATTATCCCTTGCAAAAATAAGATGGAACTAGAAATTTAATTCGTCATGGGGACGAATTAGGTGGTCTGTCTTCAATTCTTATGATCATGCTCATCTTCAATTAAATTACCCAATAACATGATGTTAATGTAAAATGATGTATTGAGATATGAATTGATGAATGAAGAATAATGGATCAAGTGATAATAGGGTAATAATAAAGTAAATATGGTTGTTTATTACATTATTTGCGATTGTACGTGTTTTAATATTCAAAGGAGATGGTACAGTGAAAGGTCAAAAAGAAAAAAAAAGTGAAGAAAAAAAATTGTTGGAGACGCCCGGACTCGAACCAGGGACCTCGAGGTCGGAAGTCAAGTGCGTTACCGATATACCAAAACCTTTCCCATAGAGATTACACGTAAACGGAAAATGGAATTTTCAAATCCCACTTTGTAAGTAAAATATGAGCATGATCCTGGCATCTGATCGAAAAATAAAGGGCACATTAGTGATAGCTTATTGTCTCAGCTACAACATACTCAAAGCTCAGCGTAAACAAAGATAAAACGACGGAGATATTGCTCGCCAAAGACGAGAATGTAGAATCCAGTTTTGAGAAAAAGTCATGTCCCATAGAGAATACACGCAAAATGTGAAAAATTGACATGCCTCCTTTAATCGCAAAAATACGCCATGATGCTTTTGTAAAAATGAATATTCGTGATGACTACATTTGTAGAGAATTGTCTCAGCTAAAACATATCAAAATTTGGAAGTAAATCGTTCAATATTGACAGAGATACAATCAATTTTCCAAAAATCTGCTGACGTCATAATATGAAAATTAAAATTTTGAGTTTGGAGGCCATTATGATGACGTCATGAGTTAATTGAGGGTTAAATGAGACATGAAATCATATCTCCAACTCATGCTTTTTCCAACCATGATATAAAAGTTGGGGTCAATTGACTATCTGAAGAGCTATTTTGATTTTTAAAATGGGATGTTTTTGATCAAATTTGCATTATATTGCCCATAGCAGTACTTGCGGATTTTGAACTTTGACGCGCGCTCACGGCCTTATGAAAGGTCAAGGGTGACTGAAATTAATGTTAATTGTCATTTACGGTAAGAGGAATCTAAATCATGTAAAAAAAAATTGAATTTGACCTTTTCCGCGCGTTGTGAGCGCGCACAACGCGCGCGGGGACCTGTACGGACGGAAAATTTTGAAATGCTTAAAATGACCTGATTTGTACTCTCGTTTAATAGTTAAGTAATTTTGAGCATTTTAAAATTTTGACGCGCGCGTACGTGCGCGTCATGACCTTTATGTGACCTTTGATGACATGACTTGTTGACCCTTGACCTGAAGTATATGTGATATGAATATGAATGACCTTTGCTTATGCATCATGAAGATATGATGGATAATGGAATTTCACAAAATGGCGCCTGGATGACGTCACGATGACCTGATGACCTTGAAAATGTTCCTGTCACGTCTCATGACAATGACCTATGACTGTGCCAAAATTGAATGAAATTGACGGAACCGAACTTGAGTTATCCTAGGCACAAAAAAGTGTAGGAAATAAATAAAAATAAAGAATAATAAATAAATAAATAATAAAGAAAATTCTGACGAAAACAATAGGTGATCTGTTTTCAACAGACCACCTAATAAAGAGAAGAGATGAACACATAATCAATGCAACCCATTACCAGAATGTAAGGGGCCCTAACGTTCTGCTCTCGCCTATTCACACATTAAGGCAGGCACTATGGAATAAGGAGATGGAGGAGTTGAGGAGGCTCAATCGCAAATTGCAGAGGGACATATTTGATAAATGTAAGATTGTCAATCAATTTTTTTTGTTATCAACTTGAATGCATACATGTAAGGTCAACGATGTTGAATAAGTTGAATAATGTTGAATAAGTCTTATTTTCACTCGGCTAGAAGCTTGCAAGTGTTTGTGTATTTGAATAATTTATTTATTGGTCAAAACCCTGATCATGAAAATTTGATTTTTACTTGATGTCAACCTGGCAATAGGAAATATGGCATACTTCAGAATTCGGGAAAGGGAATCCTCAGGGAGTACGATACTCAAAGGCACCTCACCACAGAGAGGGAAACGTGTTCCGATGGTCCTGTTTTGGCGGTCCATTTTTGTACGCGTATGAAATTTAAAATATCTCACCAAACTGTCTACATGATCCAGACCAGGGAACCGATGTGTTTCCATGGTCCAACCTCGTAATTGGGGATGCGCACACTTTGCACTTCATATAACAGTGCATGTGCCCTCTACGTTCACTAAATACACAGACGTGTAGATGTGTACTGTGCATGTGTACTGTATATGTATGTGTACTGAAAGTTCTAGCGATCGCTAGCTATAGTACAGGATTATCAGGATTATTCGCTGATTGGTATTGTAAGGTTTTAATTTTACTGATCCAAGTGGTTACTTGTTTATTTTACACTGTACATTTAGCTTTCCACTCCGTTATGCTTCAGCGCACTTCTGACCTACATTCATTCTCTCATGTCTGCTAGCTCTTGGCTTCTATTGCTCTGTCCCTATTCATTCATCCTCATTCATATTACCTGCCATAGCACCACACACCACGCACCACACACACACACACACTCCTCCTTATCTCTTAGCTATTCAACGCAGCACACATGGCACATGGCATTCATTTACAAGCTTTTCTATTGGTTACTTGCTAATTGTCCAATCTTGTGATTGGTGATTGTTTCATGGACTGCATGTCAGCCATCTCGGCAGCCATTTTGTGGTTGTAATAAAATTTAACAGTGCAGCTCAAGTCATCAAACATGTAAGACCACTTTTGTCTTTGTGGGTCCTTACAACTGGTGGCAGCAGTGGGATTCAAACCCACGCCATCGAAATGACTGGTGCCTAAAACCAGTGTGTAGAAGTTCCTGACTGAGTGCATATTAGTGCAATATTTCACTATTTGCTTTAATTCTTGCTGCATGGCTGACTGAGACACCAGGACTCATGCTACTGAGTTCCTAATGCAGAAATTTTGAGCGGATAAGGAGATGAAGGAACGGGATTTTAAGCTGCAACACCAGATTCTTCTCTGTGCTGATGCATCTCCTGCTCACAAAACAAACTTCAGATACCTCAACAAGGACAGACTAAAAATATGGCTGAGCAAGAGCAAACTCGCGCAAAAACACCTCAAGCAAAGAATTTCTCATTTTGAAGACAAAATAGCCACTAACTTTCAGGTAAGAGCACACCCAATTTCAACAGAGGACAATGAGGCATTTGCACAAATCCTCAACAACAACACTGCAACAGTCCATGAACATTTCTAGGCCGACACACCAATGAGACTTTTGTGGGATGAGCAAATCAAACAATCACAAGAACATCCCCAAGCCAGACGATGGCATCCATCAATATTGAGATTATGTACGGTATTGCTGTAGAGTCCAAGTCCTCATCTGCATATGACCTTCTTCGCTCATCTGGGGTACTCATTCTCCCACACAAAAGAACTCTAAAGCAATACACAAGATTTACAACAAGTGAACCAGGCTTCAATAAAGATCTGCTGAAAAAAATGCGATGACATCGACGTAGCAGCTCTGAAGGACCACCAAAAGAACATCACTCTCACGTTTGATGAGATGAAAATAAGTGAGGGGTTAGTCTACTCTCATTCCACAGGCCAGATTATAGGCTTCACAAGCCTTGGAACCTTGAACGATGAACTTGAAGCTTATAGCAAGAGTTGCCTGGAAGGTCAAGCATCCCCAGCTATCGCAAGCCATGTGCTCACATTGATGATCAGGGCAATATGCTACTCCTATAAAGCCCCAGTAGCATACTTTTCCATGCTTGGGGTGACCAGTGATCAACTCTATGGAATTGTTCTTACAGCAGTCGAGCTCTTGGAACTTCAAGGCTTTCATGTTAAAGCATTGGTGTCAGAAGGGGCTGCACCCAACTGCTCGTTCTATGACATAGCGAAGAAGGACAAAGATGATTGTTTCTTTATTTATTCTTTATGTTCAGCGATGTTCCCCATTTGCTGAAGACATGTAGGAATAATCTAGAGAATTCAGGCTACCACAGCAAAACAAGGCACTTAATGGTAAAGACAACAAAAACAACTCTTTGCTATGTTTGCTAACATGCCATTTAATTTTCAAAAAATTAAAATTAAAATTTATGTTCTGTTTCAAAATGTATATCCTTCAAACAACCTGGTCAAACAAATATCATTTTCCCTGCATTGATCACAAAGTCTCTTTTTTCATGAAATGGTCACTCACTCCTTAGTCTATTCAATGTGTGTATTACTGTTTTCCCATATCTTTTGTATCGTGCATCCCCAACAGAGACAAGGGAGGATCTCGATGACCGCATCACTAATGGCAAGAGAATAAGGATTCCAAAGATTATGGAGTCCCGCGTGGAGGTGGAGAGTAGTGATGAAGGTGAAAATGAAGAGCAAGACGGTCTCAGGAGGAAGTTGGGAGAGGTTGGAGCGGCAAAGGTAAGAAAACTGAGTTAATAATAGATGTATAAAAATGTATCATTGCAGGTATGCTGACGCTCTTTAATACTCCAACCGTAACTTGTGACATTGCGGATAATTAATGTGGATAACGTTCATACTCTTGGCAGATACCTTTATTAACAGACCAGTTTACTCTTGGAAGTAATTTTTGTAGATCAGGGTGTCATTTGATGATTAAATCTGAATGTATAATTTGTAAACCTTAAAAACTGCCACTTGGTGTACTGGAGTTGACTGTTTGATGTATGACACTAAATCTACTGTCATGTCACTTGAAAATGATTTTAAGAAAATGATACGGTACTTTCGTATTTTAAAATCATTGTTCAAATTTCTTTTTGTTCTATGTAGAAACAAAACAACTACCAAATTGCTGCAGCAAAGAACGCTGCCCTACATTCAATATTGGCCCAGAAAATGGGTAAACGAAAGGGGGAAGCTCTCCAACCAAGTCAACCATCTACCAGGTGCAAGCTGTGCCACAGCCTGAAGAGACAATTGGAAGATGAAAAGCAGAAGAACAAGAAGGAGAAGGAGGAGCTGAGAAGTCTCAATCGGAAGCTGCAGAGGGACATTTGAGATACAATGTAGATGTAAGATTGTCAATCAAAATTATTTATCAACTTAAATTCATACAGTGAATCGTGCCCGACTCGAAGTTGAATAAGTTAAATGTTCACTGAGCTAGTAGCTTGCAAGTGTTTGTGTTGTTAAATAATTCATTTCTTGGTCAAAACCCTGTTGTATCCTGCATCCCCAATAGAGACAAAGGAGGACCTGGAAGAACACATAATGAACGGAAAGAGGATATGGATTCCCAAAATTGTGGAGTCCAGCGTGGATGTTGAGGAGAGTGATTAAGGTTAAAATGAAGAACAAGAAGATCTTAAGAGGAAGTTGGGAGAGGTTAGAGTGGCAAAGGAAAAACTGGGAATAGGAAGAAATCCGAAGTAGACAGCAATAAGGAAGACAGAAGTTCAGCAGCAGCCATCATCGAATTGTTCGGTGAGGAGTCCGATCTCTCTTTGGAATCATCGTCGGAATCTGAGACCGAGAGCGAATGCGAGGGGCCAAATTGTAAGGGATGCATGAGCAGAAAGCGACCGTATCTTGCTATTCCCAACAATCGGGTTAAGGAACTGGAGAATGTTATTTTTGAAGTCGTCACCACCCCACCAGATATGCACCGTGTTATCACCAAGGTAACAGTTCACACCAGTTGGTACAGCAAAGGAGACAAGAGACTTATTCCCAAAAAAAAGAATGGTGGAAACCTCCTATCCTGAGAGGGTACCACATAATATTGAGGAGGAGTTATTTATTTTTTTAACATTAAGCTATTGTTATACATATTCAATGTACATGTACATGCCCAAACATGTTGATTATTCCACTACTCATTGCAAGTAAAAAAAAATATATAAAAAAATATGTACAGGTATTTGTGTGATTTTCACCAAATAATTATCGATCCTTACAAGTTGGATTATACGATTATAGGATTACCTCTGTTTACATGAACTTAATGTTTGTTATACTCGACAGTGAAATTAACTTATGAATGTCAACATCTATGCACATTATTGAGGTTTTACAGAAATGTTCAAGAGTTTTATCATTAATAAAGTTCTGCTGAATTTTATATCAATTCCTGAAATTCAATTCCTTTTGTCGTACGATGCACACTGTGAGAGATTGTGAATGAAAGAATGATGAGCAGGTACTTTAACTTAGTCGAGTGAAGTCAGTGATTGATTGGGTAGCGATAATGCTGTTTGTTGATGTGGAGCTAGGAAATAGATACAATTATACTGTATGCTAAAATAGACTTCGAAGAAGTTAAGTAGACCGCCCCTGTATACTTCAGGAAAACGAAGCACCAGAGTAATGAGTTAACATCTTCAGCTGATATAAAAGTTGACAGTTTATTATTCAATCTAAACGCTACAAGTGAAGCCAAGAGTGAGAATGTTGTAGTGATGGAGAGAAACTGGTGTGATGATCCTATGCTTTATTACTAAGTGATGGTGATATGGAGGTTGTGTAATTTACACACATGCATTTCACTACGTGCAGTCGGTGCATGAAGGAGATGGAGGAGTTGAGGAATCTCAATCTGAAATTGCAGAGAGACATTTTTGATTTTATGTAAGATTGTCAATCAAAATTATTTATTTCATTACTTAAATGCATACAGTCGACCGTGCCTAACTTAAAGTTGAATAAGTTAAACTTTCACTGAGCTAGTAGCTTGCAAGTGTTTGTGTAGTTAAATAATTTATTTCTTGGGCAAAACCCTGTTTATGTTTATGAAAATGAAAATAAGATTTTAACTAGATGTCTACCTGGCAATAGAAAATATGCCCTCTCTGCTGTTTTTCCATATTTTTCAGGACAATACTTCAGAATCCGGGAGAGGGAATCCTCAGGGAGTACGATACTCATGGGTACCTCACCGGCAAGACAACAAGGCTTCTTGTTAGCATCCTTGTAGCACATATGAAGAATCATAAATGTCTGAAACATTCTAATATGTCTGCAGAAGATCTTTTTTTTTGCAACTAATTTTTAAAAAACAGTAGAAATTTGCTTGTCCATTTAGATCAAATTCGATAGTTCTAGGCTTTGAGTAAGGCTAGCTATTTAGTAATCAGATCATATCACGTGGTCATACACAAACAAACTGGAACCATACAAAGACGTTCAACACACAAACCAAAATCAGAGTAAATAAAAACTTATCAGTACTTCTAACAGGTGAGCATAATCCACAGTTGGTGAAATCTTTGATATAACCAAATTTTCTGTAGAAATATGATTTTTGAATCGAAGATATTTTTTGCCTTTGCTTGATTTTACGACACATGTTCCCACGACAACTGCTCCAGTACATTTTTTCTGTTAAAGGGATCCAGTAACTTTGTCTCAGATTCTGAAACAAAATCCTGGATTTAGCTCATGCTGCAATGATAATTTTAAACCTTTAGGTCAGTCAGGAACTCCATGACTTTTACAAGCCGATCGCCTGTCTGATTATCAAGATATTTATGATTGGAATTTTGAATTTTGAAAACAGTTTGCCAAATGGTTTTCATTACACTACTGTCTATTGGGGAAAATGAGTATGGTAAAACCGGTCACTCAAAGAATTTTACTTTTTTTAGGCACTTCTTGATCGTTTTGAAGCACAATTTTTTTAGGGCTTCATTATTACACCATATCACAGACACTGATAACACGTAGCGCCGTGCATCTCAAATTTAACATTGTTAAACGATCCCTTTAACACAATCCCAATTCTTGTCTAACCTGGTTCCATCACTACATGTATGTAAAACCAACATTTAAAATAAAATTGCAGCCCAGGCCAACATAATAAAGCCTGGAACAAAAATTGGATGACGAACCTCTTGAGGTTTATCAATAATTCATTGCATATTTTTGGGGAGTATCTGTACGCTCAAATATTTCATTTTTCTGAGCAATGACTAATAGATTATCAATGATGGATTAAAAGCATACCATTTTTACCTAGAAAGATCAGAAAACATGAAATCATACCACTAAATTCTAGTCAAATCGAGCAGTCGCACCATACAAAACAAAGCAATAGTTTTACAATGCAGACACACACTCTTTCTATCAGTCATGGCCATGACATAAACAAAACAGCCAAACCTCTCTTGTGATCTTCATTCTGGAAACGATGTGAGAAGTGACGATAGATGCACTGCCCTGCTGCCATTGTCAACGATCTCTGCATCTCTTGGATACTCGTGATCCTCATTCTGGAAGCGAAGCATGATGACGATGGATGCTTTGCCCTGCTGCCATTGCCAATGTTCTCTGAATCCCTTGGATACTCGTGATCCTCATGCTGGAAGCGAAGCACGAGTGACGATGGATGCTCTGCCCTGCTGCCATTGCCAATGTTCTCTGCATCCCTTGGATACTCGTGATCTTCATTCTCGAAGCGAAGCATGAGTGACGATGGATGCACTGCCCTGCTGCCGTTGCCAATGTTCTCTGCATCCCTTGGATACTCGTGATCCTCATTCTTGAAGCGATGCATAAGTGACGATGGATGCACTGCCCTGCTGCCGTTGCCAATGTTCTCTGCATCCCTTGGATACTCGTGATCCTCATTCTTGAAGCGATGCATAAGTGACGATAGATGCACTGCCCTGCTGCCGTTGCCAACGTTCTCTGCATCCCTTTAATATTTGTGATCCTCAATGTTGAAGCAATGTTAGGAGTGACGATGAATGGTCTGCCCTGCTGCCATTGCCACTGTTCTCTGCATCCCTTGAATACTTGTGATCCTCAGTATGGACTCCGAATGATGCAGATATTCCCAGGAGTGAGTGCTCTCTTTGGACATCTGCAATACAAAATCTGTGGAAGGACAAGGTAAAATGCATTGAGTTAGATCCATGAACAAATTTAATTGATATTCATGAATGGTTTTTCAGCACGTCTGCGGTATTTCTCTACTGGCTGTGTATTAAAAACTGTTCAGACGACCTTAATTGATCCTCAACATTTCAAACACCACATCACTCAAAATCTGTATTTTGGCTACAATTGATGACACCTAAATAGCAGTAAAATACAAATCCTTTCAACTTACCGATGTTAGTGAAAATATTTTGAAAATTCAAATCGTGAGTTTACTGTGAAACTTGCCAATCAGCAACTTCATATTCAATGTGTGCAATTGCTGCCTCTCAGCAAGTATACAGCGCTAGAGGTCAATATGCAACGACTCTATGCTTTGCTGGAGTGCCCACCTGGTGGTTGCTGACTGTATTTGGGGCATCCCCTGGCAGCGTGAATATCATGAGACACCCAACAACTTGTGGTCTGCCGACTATTGAGAGCCAGAAGGGTGTTAACTCCAAAACTTTCACTTTTAGTCTTAGTAAAATGGAATGAATTTGCAAACTGATCCAGTGAGGCGATTAATGATACTGTTCTACATGTAGTGCATCTAAGCGGATCCGGGCTAACTCGGACCTGGGGACAACTCAGCCACGCTGCAAAAACGGTCATTTTTTGTCATTCTACCCTAACCCTAGCTCTAACTCTAACCCTAAACCTGCAAAAAAATGGCCGTTTTTGTAGCGGGACCGAAATGTCCCCGGGTCCGAGTTAGCCCAACTCCAAACAAGAATATTGTTAAGACTTACACAAGACAAATCTAGTCTGATTGTTGACTTGAGCTACACTGCTATATTTTACTACATCTTTAAAATGGCTGCCAAGATGACTGACATGCAGTCCATAGACAATAAACAACCAATCACAAGATTGTACATGAAGTAAGTTACCAATAGAAAGCCTAAGAAAAGATATAGAGTGCCATGCGTCTAATAGCACATTTATACTGCAATGACCCCGAATATCCACAGATCTTCAAAACATGAAGAGGTCCTACTTTGTAGTAGGGTGTCTGATCGCGCACCCGATGTTGTGTGCTAAAATACTTCCCATAGAGATTGCACGCATCCCTATGCAGTCTACGTGCATTGCGCGACCATGAAAATTGGTCAATGATTTTATGAAAAAAATTGAAATTCAAACCTTTGGGGCTTGTGATCCTGAAGGTAAAACTCAATAAATGAGGTGTCATATGAAAGAGCAGGTTTTTCTCCATATTCCCCAAAGGGGCGCACCCCCGAAATTCTCAAAATATCTTGGTCAAAACAGCGATTTAAATGTTGTTTGCATCCTAGCTCCAAAATTTGCCACTTTCCTGAGCTGCGCCCCCCGGGCTTATGTCCGGCTAGACGTAAGGAAAATATGTATGCACTTATTTTTTCGCTAGCCCCAAGAGATCACTCGCCCCAACATTTTAAAAATACCCTTCCCACATTTTTGGAATCAGCTAATTAGGGAGGCGTGAGCTCCGCTCAGTCCAAACCATGGTTACATCGCGTAACATGTGCGCTTATAGTGAATGAAAGTATGGATGGCCGTTCCCACCATAAACCCCGGAAGTGAATACACGTTATAGTCAATGGCAATATCGCGGAGACATCTCCGCGATATTGCCATTGACTATAACGTGCATTCACTTCCGGGTTTTTTGTGCGACGAACGCTAACCATACTAGTCAATGGCACGTGTCGCGGAGACAGCGTAGCTCAAGCTTGCAAGTCGCGCATTGGCTTAGCAGCATGCGTACGATATGCATACGCTTGCATATCGCGCGATACAGCTGTTTGGCAAAATTTAGCAAAACAACATCACTCTGCGTGGACGTCTTTTTCGTCGATTTTGACCAAAATGATATGAATATACCAGCATTTTGGAGGGGCTGTATCTTTTGATTGAAACATCGGTGAAGCTTCAAATTTGAAATGTATTATTCTGATTACACTTTTTATTCAAATATCAAACAAAAATGGTGAAAAACGATCCCAAATTGAAAATTGAAAAATCGTTCAGACACCCTATTTGTAGCTCTTAAAATAATCACTCCTACAGCGATGGAGGTGCTACATAAATAGCCTCCGTTTCCCCTTTTCAAAGAATACTTCCACCTGTGTATCATGGAGTGCACTGCTTGTGCATAAATGAATAATGATTACATAACTTTCAGGAGCACGTATCCAGTATTTCGTCTCCGTGTATTTCACAATTTGTTCTGCAATGACCTCTACCTGCTCATGCTCAGACTGCAACCGTGAACTGGCTTATGAAGTTATAGTGAGCTGGGTTGAATAGCCAAAAGATAGGAAGTGTGTGTGTGTGTGTGTGTGTGTGTGTTGTGGTGCAATGGCAGGTAATGTTGCATGAGGATGAATGAAAAAGGAACAGAACAATAGAATTCAAGAGCTTAACAGACATCAGACAATGAATGTAGGTCAGGAGTGTCCTGAAGCATATTACAGAGTGGACAGCTAAAGTAAAATAAACAAGTAACCATCTAGCCGTGATATCTTCAACATAGGCTGGCATAGGCGATCGTTCTGTCTCTATAACCGGAGGTCTAGTGGAGCCAGACGTAGTCTCAGTGGAACAACCGACGGTATAGAGACTGAAGCTTTTGGTCTAAGTCCGAGTCTGTTTGACACTGATTTAATTTTTGTTCAATTATCAGATTCAGACTCAGTATTAAACTGTACATTATGTAGTCTAGTCTATTATTTTCTTGTTTTTTAACACATTCATGACCTACATGTATGAACTCAGAACTCTTACCCCCAAAATCACTGCAACATGGCATGCTCATCAACAAGAGGGCACATTTTCGGAGAGTTGAGAAACCCCGATGCATGCTGGTTTTCCTCACCGTCGAAGGAGGAATGACCGTCGGCAGCCGCTGTCCTGCACGTACAGAGCCGATACGAAAGCAGTGCTTTCAGAGCACGAACCATTTCAAATAACGATGCTGTTTCACTGCCCAAAATATCACCACTGCTGTTTCTATACATGGCATGTTACAGATTGATTGACGTGGTCATCTAACAACTCTTGAAATAGCTCATTAAAGCGAGGAATTTTAGCCTTAAAAATTATGTGTTCGTGCCATTCATATCATCCAGCGCGCCCCATGCTTGTTTACAACTAGCCAGATCCAGGTACGTTGTCGACTATGAGGCGCCGTTTGTAGACTTATTGTTTACTAAAAGTGTAAAACTATTTATAATAATGATTTCGCGAAATCCATTATATAGGCATATGAATAATGATTTCATCATATCCATTATAAACAAATAATAATTTCCAGGGTCCATGGTTTATTTAGGCATACACCGACGGCGACGCAGAACTTTTGTAAAATATGATTCAGGTCATGATAATGAATATTGTCTGCGCTACTTTTCTGAGAGGCGCTCGAGGTGACAGACTGCAGAGAAGGGGTAGTTGCAACCCCCCCCCCCCCCCCTCCTCTCTCTCTCTCTCTCTCTCTCTCTCTCTCTCTCTCTCTCTCTCTCTCTCTCTCTCATTCTCCCTCTCTCCTCTATCCCTGTCTCCCCCTCTCTATCTCTCTCTCTCCCTGTCTCTCCCTCTCTCTCTCTCTCTCTCTGTCTCTCTCTCTCTCTCTCTATCTATCTCTATCGCTACCTTTAATATGTAAAATCGAATAAATCGCGAAAATTTGTTTCATAAAGATTTATCATGTTTTGAAAATGTATAATCAGATGTCATCTCCTGTGACTGGTACAATAAACCATTTTTAATACGGCTTATCTTAGCTATTTCCAACCTTTTTGTAGTCATGCACAGCACCTTTTTGAGAAATAAAAAGTATCGCGTCACCCAATGTCTTTTTTTAAAGGAATAGTTGAGTCCTGTTGTCAGACGGCAAAATATGCCTTCAAAGTGCATGGTTATTGGTCTTATTCTTATCTATGACATTTCTAGTGCCCTTTTAGAACCTAAAATTGCTATGAAGGTAATTTTAGACCCCCAAATGTGTGAAATTTAGCCAATACGAGTGGCAGTTCAGCTCCACTTTTTAAAAAAATACGGTGACCGTTAATTTATTATTCAATTAAAAATAACAATACGTGGGCCGACTGGTTGAGCGGAATATAACCAACACAAAAATGCCAACAAAAAAGCCAACATCGGCATTGGCTGAAATACGACATAAAAGGCGCTATATATTTCGCATTTTCAACGACTTTTTCAAATTATCTAATTGTGGTGGTAGTACGTACACATAGTGTTAGAAATCGTTATATTTATGGATACTTCAGCCGTCTCCGAACCGATTTTGATCAAAGAAAGATGATTTTGACATTTAAATTGTATGTTCTTTCAAATTTGACACTCAGTTTTTCATGGCACAAAATTTTTTGTGTAGCGCCCTCTGCAACAGAACTCCACTGTCCCTTTAAGTTAAAGAGAAATTTATGGAGATTTCCGTACAGTACCTGCTGACATTATTTGTCTTATTATTTCCAAATGAATTGTCTGGTCATTCAGTTTTCAGAAGTCGATTGGTCTTAAAAGTTCTGTTATCTTTTTAATAAAAACGAACAAAAATTACCATCACAACTGCCACCACAAGACCTATAATCATCATCATCATCGTCATCGTCATCATCATAATTATCATCATCAACAACGCCATCACCTTCACCTGTTATTTTACTTTCTTTACAGACACAAAAAGACAAGTTTTTAAAACTGTTTTTTTGTTGTACCAGATAAGCCCAATTACGTTTATATTTTGCTTATTTTCTCTCTCTCTCTCTCCCAAATCTGATGTTAATTATTTTCATCAATGCATTAATTTCCACGGTGACCATATCCCATGCAGCGCATCCACGGGATTTTTTTTCCCCCTTTCTACAGACTCGATATCGTTGTGTGTCGGACTGCAGACAAGTTGGCAATGTAGGGTTAGTTGATTTCCTATTCGCGGGCCTATCCTCTTTTCCCTATCCTCATCATTAATACTGCTTTCTTCATCATTTGGTTGTGATTGATTCAAGTCTGTTGTCATATCATGGGAATAAACTTGGTGTGGTGCGTCAAGGTTGTTATAGTCATCCAAAAGTGTCCATTCGTTTTTGATGGGTTGGTCAATAATAGCACTCGATGATGGCGGCAACCGTCTGCTAATGTCTGTGGTGGTCATCCTGGCTTTATATCTAATCTTTTGAACTGTTTTGATGAACGAACAAATATAAAAGGAAAGTTGATAATTATCATAGTACAAAGCAAAGACTTACAGATTTCGTGAAAGAAAAGTATCCAATTTGTTTAATTGAATTGTTCAATTAAAATGCCAAAATTATGTTTAACTAGTAAAATTATTTCATTAAAGTTTGATCCGGCCAGAACTGCCTCTACTTAAAACACGTCCTCTGCGAATAGTCATTTATGATTTGTGAACTTAAGTGTGATTGTTATTATATTTTTCTATAACTTTTTACATTCATAATCCCAAGACAGATTTAAAGATTATTGTTTAAACCACAATTGTGAAAAGGTTCGTGCCTCGAACATATCAGGTTCAATTTACTTTTCTAATCAAAAGATTTCTTCAAGAAACGAAGTTTGAGTAAGCTAGCAAGGGGACAGGAGAAAGAACAAACCTGGAAGTTTCCGGAATCTGGCAGTTGTGTATAGGTAACTTTTATCCCCTTCTCTAATATCTTGTTCTTCATTTTTCTATCTCTGTTCCTGTCACTATCCATCTTTCCCACCTCCTTCTACCTATATTTATGTTTCTCTCTCTCTCTCTCTCTGTCTTTGCTCTCTGTCTTTTCTTCCTTACCTATTCCTTCTTTGGCGCTCCCTTTCTTTCTTTTTTACTTTATTTTTTTATCTTTTTTTACTCTCTCCCACTCTTCATTTCTCCCATTATGTCCATATTTTTTTGTGGGGGGACGTCAAAACAATGGCCTTATTTTCATTCTGTTTCAAGGTCATTATTTAGCCCGTTTAAACAATTCTCAAGAGAAAAGTAGAGATGATATTGGTTAAAAGATTCATATTCATATTTATTTCATTTCCAACAGACAGGTAAACAAAGATATTACATTTTTTTCATACATAATTCGTTTTTTCAGGAAACTATACAAATAAACTTTGCACATCATTTCTCCATCTCTGTTCCTGTCACTATTCACCCCCCTCCTTCTACCTATATTTCTGTTACTCTCTCTCTCTCTCTCTCTCTCTCTCTGTCTTTGCTCTCTGTCTTTTCTTTCTTACCTCTTCCTTCTTTGGCGCTCCCTCTCTTTCACTTTTACTCTATTTTTCATCTTTTTTAAAAAACTTTCTCCCACTCTTCATTTCTCCCATTTTTATATAGGCCTATGTAAAAAAATTTTGTGGGGGGACGTCAACACAGTGAGCTTATTTTTACTTTTATTTAAAGGGGAAATATATTAAAGGTATCAAAATATGCTCATCTGACCGTAATTAAATGCCTAAAACCCCTCGACTTCCGGTGGCTCTGGCCCCTGGACCCCACCTAGGGCCCTTAGGCAGACGGGAGGATGTTAATCTGACGGTAATTTAATGCTTAAAACCCCTGAGCTTCTGGGGTCTGGGCCCCCTGGACCTCACGCCAATTAGTGTCCTGCCAGTGTCACAAATAAGGTATCAAAACATGCTCATATGACCGTTATTTATCGCCCAAAACCCCTGAGCTTCAAGGGGCTCCGCCCCTGGATCCTACGCCAATTCGTGACCTGCCAGTGTCACAAATAAGGTATAAAATTAAGCTCATCTGACAAATAAATTGATGTTTAAACCTAAGCTTCCGGGGGCTCCGCCCCCTAGACCCCACGCCAATTCGTGACCTGCCAGTGTCACAAATATGGTATAAAATATGTTCATCTGACGATAATTTAATGTATAAAACCTCTGAGCTTCTTGGGGCTCCGCCCCCTGGACCCAACACCAATTCCTGACCTGCCAGTGTCACAAATAAGGTATCAAAATATGCTCATCTGACCGTTATTTATTGCCCAAAACCCCTGAGCTTCCAGGGGCTCCGCCCCCTGGACCCCACGCCAATTCGTGACCTGCCAGTGTAAAAAATGAGGTATAAAATTATGCTCACCTGACGATAATTTGATGTATAAAGCCCCTGAGCTTCCGAGGGCTTTGCCCCCTGGGAAAAAAACCCGTGTAAAAACATTTTACCCTTTTTTTTGGAGATGCCCCCCCCCCCCTGGCGCTCAAGAGGGTGGGGTCCGATTTTTCAAATTTTCGAGGGCCAAAAAAAGTGCTATGATATCACGAAATCGAATTCCTGATATCACGAAATCGAATTCTTGATATCAAGAATTACCATTGCTTTACAACGTAGAATTAATTCTTGATCGCGCCATGCAGCTCGCCACAACTCGAGGTTCCAACTCGGCTTTACGTAAGTAGCCACAGTACGTCCCAGAAAAAACGAAACCAAGAATTATCGATGTTTTATCATAACTTAATCACAATTATAATTGATAAATGACACATATTTGTAAAGCTTAGATTCCCCTCTTTCATTTGATGCAACTCATATAATGCGTATTTCACGCATGAGTCATTAAAAGGAGTTTGAAGAGAGGAAACCGAAAAGTCATTTGACGAACGGTATCTGAATTTCAAAGAGAAAATCACATTTCTAGAAAGTTGAGTTTTTGCCTTTTCATACGACACCTCTCTCAGGAAAAATGAGCTAGGAAAAACAACGTTCAGTTTCGTTGACAATCAGCCGTAGACTGATTGTCAACGAAACGGAGTTAAGTCTTTTGCCTATTCTGCTTGTTACTACGGCAGGCAGCCAGTGGAAACAAATTTGTTTGATAAAATTATGGAAATGCAAGCACTACTTTAAACAAACAGAACTTTGTCATTCCTTGCTCATTTTTCCTGATTGAGGTGTCATATGAAAAGGCAAAAACTTAACTTTCCAGAAATGTGATTTTCTCTTTGAAATTCAGATACCGTCCGCCAAATGACTTTTGGTTTCCTCTCTTCAAATTCATTTTAATCACTCATGCGTGAAATATGCATCATTATGAGTTGCATCAAATGAAAGAGGAGGATCTAAGCTTTCCAAATATGTGTCATTTATTAATTATAAATGTGACTGGGTTATGATAAAATATCGA